AAATTCAGGGACACGTGTCAGCTGCCTGTGGTGAAAGGTGTAAACTTTATTTGGCTAATTATTGTGGGAGCTTAGCGTAGATGCGTCTGTTTGCTTTTAAAAAGGGAATTTTGCATACTATTTTACTTACTGAAATCAAAACAGGTTTTCCCGGTTTCCGGTTACACAGAAAAAGGTGAACTTTTGAAACAAGTGAGAAGCCGAGAAACTGGTTTGGACTTTGGAGATTTTTGCTGTAACGGGCAGTTCTACAGTGGCTCTTCAACCAGGTAACTCTCTCTCTCTCTCTCTCTCTCTCTCTCTCTCTCTCTCTCTCAGTTGCTGCAAGATGTGAGTTCTTTCATGTGTTTTCTTTCTTGTTAGTGTTTCAGAAAAGCTTAAGCTTGAGCTTGCATGGTTGTTTTGGTGGGTTTGTTGTAGTTATGTAAAATTTTGAATCTTTGGGTTATGGGATTTATGCTTATACATGGGGTTCTGCTTTTCTTTCGTATCTTTTTTCTTGGGCTTTCAATTTTACTGGTCAATACATATTATGCTTCGTTTTGAATGGTTAAGGTATTTTGACTTTGGGTTAGAAAACATATAAGGTGGTGGATGAGCCTATGCCTGTTTGAACTGTAAATTCATTTCTCGATTGTCAAATTTGAGAGGTGGACTTGTTTCAATAGCATTGATGCTTAACACCCAACAGAAAGAAACTTCATGTGGGATTAATGCCCAGAACTAAATGGGATTTCAGAAATTTATCTGAAATTTGATCAGTTTATGTTATGCAGTAGGTGATTGATGTCGAATGTTGTGGTTTGTGCGAAGTAAAGAGCTTATGATCTGAAACCATATCGTGCATCATGAGTATATGACTATATGACGTGGGAAGCTTCTTTTGGATGTAGATTTTGAGCATGGGTTTTTGCCAGAGGACCCTTTTGCAAAGGGTCTTAACTTTGTTCTAAGAACCAGGCTAATTACTATGCTGAATTGTGATATTGAGAGTTAAGGATACTATTGGGTTATGGACACAGTCAACAACAACGATACTAGCCAGCCTTCAAACCAATTCTGCAATTCTTACAGAGTGGCAAGCCTTTTTGACACAATTCTGGAAGCATCCCAAGTGGCAGATTTGAAAGACCGGTATATTCTGGGTGAGCAATTAGGATGGGGACAGTTTGGTGTCATTAGGGCATGCTCAGATAAGTTTACTGGTGAGGTTTTAGCTTGCAAGTCTATTGCCAAAGATAAATTGGTCACACATGATGAAGCTCGCAGCATCAAGCTTGAGATTGAAATATTGTCTAGGTTGTCTGGGCATCCGAATGTTGTAAATCTCAAGGCAGTTTACGAGGAGGAAAATTATGTGCATTTATTGATGGAGTTATGTGCTGGAGGGGAGCTTTTTCACCGCCTTGAGAAGCAGGGAAGATTCTCAGAAACTGATGCTCAGGTTCTTTTTAGACATCTGATGCAAGTTGTTAAGTATTGCCATGAGAATGGCGTTGTTCATAGAGATTTGAAACCGGAAAACATTCTCTTGGCTACAACTTCTTCATCCTCACCAATTAAGTTGGCAGACTTTGGTCTTGCAACCTACATCAAACCTGGTGAATTTTTTTTCATCTCATCTTCTTACATTTTTATATTTAGGTCTTTCTACCAGACTTACATATCTATATCATTTTTATTCACCTGGATGTTTTGTATCAACAGGGAAGAAATTGCATGGGACTGTTGGAAGTCCATTTTACATAGCTCCTGAGGTGCTTACAGGAGGTTATGACCAGTCTGCAGATGTATGGAGTGCTGGAGTTATTTTGTACATTCTTCTTAGTGGGATACCTCCTTTCTGGGGTAAGACTAAGTCAAGAATATTTGATGCTGTAAGAGCTGCAGATCTATGGTTCCCTCCGGATCCTTGGGGTCATATATCTGTGTCCGCCAAGGACTTGATTGCTGAAATGCTTTGCGTCGATCCTTCCAGGAGGCTCACAGCTGCACAGGTTTTAGGTACGTCATTGTGTCATTGTTAAATTTTATAGTCTGTACCCTGTATCTGTAATAATCACTTATGGTGTGTTTGGATGAGGAAAATAAACTTGGAATTTTGATAAAAATCAGAATTTATGAAATGACATGTGCTAATTTCCTTGTTTGGGTTCGTAAACATAGACATTAATAAATTCTATGTGGAAATAAACTTGGAATTTGTGGCTCATGAATTCCAACTTGAAATTCTACCTGAGAATGTGTCATTTCCAAAATCCCACAATAATGAAAGGTTTTAAAGATAAACTTTAGATTCTGTAATGAAATTCCATTATGATGCCTAATAGTTTTCCCAAACAAGAAAGTTTATAAATCTAGAACTTTGAATCTCTTATTTTAAATTTCATCTTTTAAACATTCCTTAATACTCTTAAACTCCACAGATCCAAACACACCGTAAAAGACTCCATATCATTTCTCTGTATTCAGAAGCTAAACTTGTGGTTTAGGATATGATTAAATAAAATTTGCTTTATAATTTGAAGTTGAATTTTTGGACAGTAGCGACACAATTATGTGCTTTGGACTCTAGTGCTTATCATTGATATTATTGTTAATTTTTTAATTTTATTTTACAGAGAGGGGGGAGTACGGTTATAATCAACTTTCCTGCAAGTTATTAAATTTACAAATTCGTCAATCTTGAGTTTACAGTGCATTTAAGCAGTTTATTTTTCAGTTTGATTAATCCAACACAAGAATTTAATCCTCTAGAAACTGTCCATGAAAAGTCCACATCTTCACATTGCTCGAATATTGATTCTAGACCTTTATTCCAAGTTCTGTTCTTAATAGTGTTTGGTAATGCAGCTCATCCATGGTTGCAAAGTTGTGCATGTGCGAGTAAAGAGACGTACAAGCAGGACAACCAAGTTTGCAGACAACTGGAAGTGGGTGGAGGTTCTTTCTCTACCCCATTTATTGATAGGAATCAGGACTTTAGCTTCAGTGATGGGTCACCCACAGCTGGTGATGTGGAACTGTGGCAATCACCTGCATTCACATGCAAATCATCTTTCTCTACTTTCCTAGTAGGCAATAGTAGTCTTTGCCCTGCATCTGGAGGCTTTTCTTTCAGCAGCTGCTATGAACCAAGTGCAGCTGAGTTTTCTTCACCAGTTCCATCAATGCCAAGCTTTACCTTCTTCAGTCCAAGTTCTTCAGTAGCGCAAGGAGATATATCATTGAGATTTACAACCAATATGTCCATGTTGGATGCAAGTTATGGAGGTAAACATTTCCTTTTTCCTGGCTCATTTGTTTATTCAAGAAGGCTGGCTATAATAGCAAAATAATAGATTAATGCTGATAGCTTTCGGCATGTCTCATTGTTGTCTTAATGCAGTACTTATTCAAAAATCTGCATTATATATTTAGCTCCCTTGTTTCGGGAAACTGATATATAGCTATCCTTTAAATCTTTCATTGGTTTCTTTCTGTTTGGATATGCAGAGTCAAGTGCAGAGAAGCTGTTAATGCTGTCAGATTGCTCGCCTGTTAAGCATGACGGTGAAGAAATAGAGCGCAAAGAATTCCGGAGAGGTGGAACAAATGGGTCGTCTAGGGTTGCTGGGATCCACAGTAAGAGGAACCACACAATTGGACATGGTGAGCTTGATCAGCTAAATCTTGTTATGACCGAATCAGTCATCCGCTGGGCGTCATGCACACAAATTCCCACAGTCCCATCTCTTAGATTGTCACTTGTCTGCTAGAAGACCGGTTCAAGTGTCTAGACCAGCCATGAGGGGCACATAATTTATAACATAATGATATGCCTAATGTAAAATGGGACATACACAAATTCGTGAAGGTCTGTTTGATCATCAATCTGAAGAGCTGAACTCTCTGGTGTATGTATAGAGGCATCTTTGCCTTAAATTTTGTGGTGCAAAAGATAGGGTGATGATGCTTTTCTAATTTTTAAAGTAATTGATTTTCTAAATGTTGTGTAGAACATTCAAATGTATGTGACAGACTATAAAAAGAAAAAGAAAGCAAAAAAGTCAAATGGCCTCTGATTAGTTATTCAAGAATATTTAAATTTAAATTTCAGTCTAAGTACATACCATTTGGTTTAGTAGGCTCACTCAAATGTTAAAACACAATTAAGAAAGAAAAAAAACAGAAGATCTTGATATATTAATTTATGCTGTGCTCGTTAACAAATCAAGCAAAAATTATAAAAATATGCGTCTGCCGGGAGTCGAACCCGGGTCTATTGCTTGGAAGGCAATTATCCTAACCGTTGGACTACAAACGCAATACAGGAAAACAATCCCCCGTTTCTTATATAACTGACAACAGGTTAAACTTCAACAGCCTAAACAAGCTATCAGATTTTCCAACGCTTAAAGGTAAAATACCTTACCCAAACCTTAAGAAAATTAGTCAAACAAACACCAAGAAGTTACAATTTTCCTATATTTATGTTTCTTCAGTTTTATGACAAACCAACCACAGTAGTAGCTTCAAAGGAGATGATGGGTTCAAGTTCAAGCGTTTATATATATATTGGGCTCGTTTAGTGTCTAGGATTGGATTGGATAAGTCACTTAATCTAAAGTATGTTGAAGGAAGAAATGAAGGTATAAATGATTTTCCATTTTAGTGGGATATTTTTTTGGGCAAATCATTTTGGTGGGATTAAGAGGGACAAGTTATAAGGTGGTGTTATCCAGATCCAAGTTTTTTTCATGAGTTTCCATTTCTACCTTCAACTGGGTCAAAAATTTTCATTTCTTCCTTCAGCATACTTTAAACATAGGGAGTTATCCAATCAAATATTAGGCACCAAACGAGCCTACGAGGAACCCCTTTGCTTCCTTCTCTCTAATAAGCGCAGTTGGCAAGTCGAAAAAACATTTTGCAGAAAAGAAGAGCACCAACCTTGCACATAGACTTAAACCCACAACATGCATAACAAGTATGGAGAGGGTACATTCAAGGACAAAAAGTTGGCCCAGTAATCCAGCAATTGATAAGTAATGGAATAAAGAGCGTAAAATATAGCTTTGCAGCAACACATGAGCACTATCATTCTTCTCTTATGGTACAAGATTGGTAGCCCCTTAAAGATGCACACTAACTTTATTGAGACTAACATGAAAAACGACCCTCGGCTCGATTCGGAGCGTCAGGAAAAGAGCCAGCTAACAAAGCTGCCCTTGCAAAATTCAAAAATAGCAGTGAAAAAAAAATATTTGAATCCTTTCTAGTAGTACGCTATTACATTGTTGTAGCTCACAGTACGGTACTGCAACTCGCTTTCAGGATGCAGGGGCATATTCTTGGATTGCTGTGGCAAGTTTGTTTCTATCCTCCTCTGTTTTCAACCTAATCAAGAAGGTACGCGCCACAGCACTACCATCATTTCCATCACTTTCACCCTACAAAAGCCAAGAGAAATTGCAATCATTGTTGCCTTACATGAATTACAAGTTGTGCACAAGTCAGTTAAGCCCCACTACTGACCGAGACAGGATGATCTATTTTTGTTTTTAAAGATTTATTTCACATATATGCAGGTTAAAAAGAATACAATTCTCTAAAATTCTTTAATCAGACACGTACAATGGTTTTTTTTCCTTCCCAAAACGAATCAAAAACATAACACTGATACACAAAAACAACTATTTCAAATTTCCCTACAGAATATGTGCGTGTGTATTTCTCTCAGATCTACGAGGATTAAACCTAATCAACGGATCAGCTAACCACCCCAGAATCCCAGAGAAAAGCAATCAAGAATAACTCCTAACTGCTACTCCGTGTTTTTCCCTTTTTGCAGCCAAACAGCTTATAATGGCGTTTTTTGAGAGCTAGGTGTTTAATCCATAACCCTGCCTTACTTTTTTTCTTTGTACAGTTAAATTGACCAAACATTCTAATTGAATATCCAAATACGAGCATTGTATTACCATAGTATGGAATATTGCAACAATGGAATTCTTCTGTAGATTCGTCTTGATGCCTGAATATAACAAAGCATTAAGCTGCACTTTCCCCACCTGCCATCGTAAATAGTATACAAAGTGAAACTTCAGTTGAAGACGAACTTCTAATTCAAGGAGTTCATCATGACGCCATTAGATAAATAATATGCCATACTACAAACAATGAAAAGGGGACAACAGAAATAGAAAAAAGGTATGCTATTTACATGTGTTCAAGGAACGGGAAAGAATTTCACCAAAAAAAAAAAGGAATGGGAAAGAAAGATATAGAAATGAAGATTCCTTGCTTTCTCAAATCAAAGAAAATCTACTAACTAAACACCACACTCACTTCCTAAAGCACAGAATAAAATTAAAAGAACAAATGTTAAAGTGTCAAACTGCATTTTAATATTTGAAACCATATATGTGTATAAGGAAACATACATCATTTCGAACAATGATTGTTGGTTTTGATTCTTTTGTACCCTTGCTGACACCCTCTTTGCATTTAATAGATAGCTGCCCCGTGCCTTTATCTTTCCATGCATCTTTATCTGCTGGATCACTTGACTGGACATATTCAGAAGAAAAAGGGTATTGAAAAAGTCAGTGGAAATGTGAAGTTACAAATGGTGCTTGGCACATACAATGTCAGAATGCCAGATTTTAGAAAAAATGTGTTGCGGCAATCAAGAAGATAGCCAAAACATTGAACAAAAAACACCATCAAAGGTATCGTGCAGATGTGAAATAGACATAAATAGCATCACAAAAATTTCCAAAAGATGGAAGTATCTCAGACCACAAATACAGCCAGTTAAGCTTGCACGAGAAACAAATGACATGCATAATTATTTTAATAACTTCACATGAGTACATACTAAAATTCCTAACACATTACCATATACAAAAACTTACAAAACGTTCTAGGGTTGCTATGTAACTTAAATCAATCATCATGATGCATATTAGCCTGATAGGAGCATTATAGTTGTTGACCCAGGCAACATAGCCTCCGATACATGAAGACAGACTCATTTTGTAAAGGCTACAACTGTTCCTCCTTTTTATTTCACAGCGACAGGTAGAACTTAATTTTGGAAAATAAGCTATGTCCTTATTCCTTTTTTTTTTGGTGGGGAACACAGTAGAATACTGATGCCATACGGCACAAATTAGCATTGCTAATTGCAACCCAACAGTTTAAATTATTTATAGCAGCCAAAAACTTTAAGGATGAGATATTTCACCCAAAACTAGGGACAGCAAATACGAAATGCATAACTTAGTCCTGATGCTGCAATGCACATGTGTAAGTCTACCAAAGCGTATTGTTTAAAGGCCATATTCTGCACATATGGATGTCTTAAATGATAACACCTTCATATACCTCATACTTGGAAAATCTGAAAGAAGTATCAATGGACCGATACCAGCACACATTATTATAAACTTTGAACAAAACAAAGACTACATGTTAGATACAAGAAAAAAAAAATTCAATACGAATATTTGGAAATCACTCCAAGTAAGAAGTTTAATTAGTCCCAGCATACAAAATAGTTAAAATAATTCTTATCACACATACTGGGGGAGAGCATGAATAATGAATAGAGAACAATACAAAATTTCATATCCACACCTTCACATAAAGTTTGCACTTGACTTCATGAACCAGGACAACACCCTTTTCTTCAGACTTTTTCACAGATGGGCTGCTAGGTTGCTCCAAGTCATTTTCTGAACCAGAAAAAGAACATTCAATACTTACACAGAATCAAGAAGACCATATCCAGATAATTCCTACAATTATCAGTGAAGGTAACCTTCACCATTAAACGTTAACAGCTATAAACATGGCGGGTGTAGTACAATGCAAACCCTATATGTCCACAAGCTTGGACCATGAACCTGACTAAAGACATCCACCATAGTCATGAAAAGCTTCTTCATACTGTAAAAAAAAATCCAATAGAGCAGACACAAGCATTTGAATATGATATGTAAACTCCTGACATTGCAAGAGTTTCCTTTGTCTGTTGATAGTCTTCAAAACTAAGAAAAAAATATGATTGTCTCAGGTTTACTAAATGAGGTGGCTATTCCTTTTCTAATTGGGTGCCCACGAAGCATGTCAGTGTTGGAGGGCTCAATGCGTCCAACAAAGACATTGACTGACCGGTCTCCAAGCTTCAAATCACAGGTGCACCAACTTAAAACATATTTTGTTTCACCTCATGTTGCTGCCCTTCGAGTTTACAAAATTAATTGACAAATTAACAACTGATTAAAATGCTGAGCCCTGGATAAAAAGGAACCAAAAATGAGGTGGCATTCAGTAATCACAAATATTTATAGCAAACCAAATCCAAACCAAACATTGGAGGCTTAAAAGCTTCACTCAGAGAATGTTTCTATATAACAAGTTGAGAACTTGTTCATCAAGAAAATAACTACATTTGGATAAAGATAAAAGAGCAAAAACTTTATTGTCTCACCAACATCTGCTTCATCTGACGCATCATGCTTTGTGGGAACCGAACTTTGAGTTCCTGGTATCAAATAACCAAAAAAAAGAAGTCAAATACACATCGAACTCACAGATGTAACACTACTCTACTCAAAAAGAGGACGGCTGGTAAATATTCAAGGGTGTCAGTTTTTCCTTAACCTTTTAATTAAGATGCAATATGTTCATAATACTACCAACAAATCAATGACAGGCAGAAATCAAGTAATGAATTAAATGATATCAAGCTACTTGCAGCCATTATCAACTGAAGACATAAATTTCTAACTTTATGAGGCTTTGGAATCCACAAGTTTATCATAAAACTCCGGAAAAAGCTGTAAAATTGCAGCGTTCTCTCCAGGCGGGCATAACCTATATTACTTATACTATGTTATTTCTATGCATAAAAATGATTCAACTGCAATTTGAACTCCTTGACTTGGGTTTCTGCTGTAAATCCACATACTTTTTTAGCACTGAAACATTATTTTAGCACATAATCTCAATTTATAATTGGATCTACTACTAAAAAAATCAAGACCATTAGCACCCTAAATGAAAAATGTCAATAAAACACCTACCAAACAAGGCAGGGGGCTGACTGTTGGAGGACAACCCAGAGCTTTGACTGTAGGAAAATAATCCAAAACTGGGAGTGCTGGAGAATGTTGCAGAACTTTGACTATTGGAGGACAACCCAGAGCTTTGACTGTTGGAGAATAACCCAAAACTGGGAGTTTTGGAGAATGCCACAGAACTTTGACTATTGGAAAATACTCCGGAGCTTTGTGTATTGGAAAATATTCCAGAGCTTTGAACACTGGAGAAAACTGGGGAGATCTGGCTGCTGAATACTCCCGAAGAGCTTTGGCTGTTGGAAGATACTCCTGCAGAACTTTCGCCAGTAGGTAGTTCACCTGTTGAGCTGTGGTTGTTGGTGAAGACTCCAGTAGAACTTTGGCTGCTGGAGAACACTCCAGAACTCCATAAAGCGGGTGAGCTCTGGCTGCTGAATACTCCCGAAGGGCTTTGACTGTTGGAAGATACTCCTTCAGACCTTTGGCGGAAAGGGTATTCTCCTGTGGAACAGTGGTTGTTGGAGAAGACTCCTGCAGAGCTTTGGCTGTTGGAGTATAATCCAGAACTTGCAAAGTTAGCAGTTGTACCAACTGGTGCGAACAGGGGTTTTGGCTGAAAATATTTATCCTTATTCGTGGACTCGGGCACCATTTTCTTTTCAGCAGTTGGAGCCCCTGCCAAATTTTCTCCTTTTCCAGCATTTACTTTAAGCCAGTTAACGACGTCACTGAATTTTTCCTGAAATAAGAGGGTGAATACACAAATAATAAGTGGACAAAACTAACTTTGACATACATTTACTTGAAGATAGCCTTTTTTCTTCAGAACAGGAGAAGGGGAAGGGAACTGATGGTAGTACAAGAGGAAAAAAGGGGCATGCAGATGAAAACCTTTGCCATCACCACCCAACATGCCAAAGGAAAAAATTAGGAGGGAAATAGAGGTCTTGAACAAGCAATTATCAAATATGGTCCAATTGGCTTCTGTAAACCAACTCTGTTTAAAGCATCATATGCTTGCTAAGAAGGTAGAAGTACCTAAACTGGATACATAACCTTCCAACAGATATAAAGTTCTAAGGAATTACCATAATGTTTGAAGCATGAGCTAGGTAGTCTCGGAGACCATCTTCCCAAAGTTCATCAGGATGATTTTTCAGTTGCATTTGTACCCAACTGTACAAAATGAGGCATACTTTTAGAGAGAACATTTTCAATTCCGAAAGGTCCACAAAACATAAGACAATCTGACTATCTGACTAGCAGAAATAATTTCCAAGAACAAATAGGACATTTAAAAACTGTAAAAACTTCAATATAGAACAAAGCATATCAAGTCACATTGATATAAGGAAATACATACGCCATATCTGATAAAGAAGAACAGCGCCAACAAAAAGAAACGAATTTAGTTGGAACCATAACAAGAAATTTTAACATAACTACATACTATATGATGAAAGCATAGTTGTAGAAACAGAAATAAGGTGGACCTTGCAAATTGGGTGTTGAGAGCTCTCACATGCTGCCGTGATGACGCAGCCCGATGTGCATTCAACACAGGTGTATCTATCGACTGCTCTTGAGAAGGCTCTGCCCTATTAGCATCACATGAGGATCCTGCCATTATCCTTTTATTCCGGAACTGCATATTGTTGAAAGAGAAATATAATAAACACCAACACAACAACTGACATTCCAACAGAAAGCCTAACTTATACACTTCCCATAAATACAGATTATACATATTTTCCTATTGAAAGGGGAAACTTTAATATTACTACAAGTCAAAGTTAATAAGCCTGACATCAATAAAATCTGCTCCCTGGTCCTTCTAGTTCTACCATAACCATGCCATCCTTATTCCCCTCTCCAAGCCTCAATAAACAGAATGGAAGCACAATTGTCTTTCTAAAGTCTGCATGTCTCCCACATCCTTTTCTTTTTTTCTTTTTTCAATTCAGCTTACTGTCTTCACGCTTACTTTGAGACAAAATGAAGGCAGCACGGTGGAAATTACATGGTAATGACCTACTGACCGCTAGGTTCTATTAAAATTCCAGCAAGACCAGTCTCTCATATAGGTTAACTAAATACTGTAAGCACCCCCCCACCCTCCTTCCGGTTCTGAGTTCTGAATGGTCACTGATTATCGAATTCTATTCAACACTAAAAGCCTGAAAGGGTACTCGAGGCAGAATATGCAACCCAAAAACCTAACCTAAAACTATTATACACCAACTAAATAGATAAATAAAATCCTAAATCAAGTGAGAAATTTTATCTGCTTTATTGTCTTGATACCGCTTAGTTTTAATTTACTATTCTTGCTTTGTCACTTTTTGTAGCCCCAAAATCCTTGGTCAGTTCAGTTATTGACCAAAAGTGAAAATATTTAACAAATAATATCTTAAGGCAATCTGAAAAACTGATAAAAATCCCATAACTTAAACTATAATGCAAACACTATAAGCTAATTCCACAGAAACTGCTCTACTTTAGTAGCTTAAAATTTAAAACCTTTGAAATTTATTGACACAAAAAGAAAAACCCAAATACACATGGCCTCCAATATGCTTCAATACGCAAAATAGAAACTCGCAATTAGGGTTTTCAGAACCTTTTAATAAAAACGAACAAGAAAACAACAAAAGGTGAAATTTTTGAAAGGAAAAGTGCAACTCACGGCCGAGTCAGGATTGGAGTCCGATAAGGCGAAACGTTTCGTCCCTTTCGTCATCATGATTCGGGCTTTCCAAGTTCAAAAGCGAAATAGGGTTCTTCAAAAAATTTCTGCTTTTGTCTCAGACTAGACTCTGCAAGCAAAACGAGAAAAACAAAAACCTTTTCCTTCTATTTTTTGTTCCTTCAGTAAAAATATTTTAAAGAAGAAAAAAAACTAAAGCTGGTTAGAGCCTTTGGATCAGGTGGGGAACGAACTTTTAATTGGGACCTTTGGATTGGGTTCCCACTATAGCATTTCACGTGGGTCTTTGTTTCGATTGGGAACTCTCCCATCTGTTTGCTGTCTTTTTTTCTTTTTTTTTTGGCTTATTATCACAAAACGTCCCTGACGTTTGCGAAACTATTAGATTGCATCCTTAAAGTTTTTTTGTATCACTTATGGTCCCTAACGTTAATATAGGTGCTCTTAAATAGTCCCTCGGTCAAAAAGTCTGTTAAATCCAGGGATATAATGGTCAAATCAATCCAAAATTATAAAATATATATATATTTTTTTATTTCCTTCCCTTCTCTCTTTCTCTTCTTCTTCTTCTTCTTTCTCTCTTTCTTTTCTTTTCTTTTCTTCTTTCTCTCCGCCAAATTCCTCATCTCTTCTCTCTCTGTCTTCAATACAGGAATATCTTATCCGCCATTTCTTGAACTCTCAAGTTTGAACCAAAAGCTGCCAAATCTCTTCATCTTCACTTCTTCTGCATCTCCAAATACCACATTTGGAATATAGACTCTCATTTCATTTTAGTTTAATGGGAAGTCATAAGGGCATTTAACATTTGGGGCCATATCCTTTGCAGGGTTGCCAAAATGAGCCAAAGCTAATGGGTTCCTCCCCTCTAGAATGTTGCCCCTATTTCCCAGTTGCCTTTGATCCAAAGGCTTACTAAGGAGTTTCCAGAACTGGTCTGGACCTTTCTCGCCTCCCTGCATATTAGGCCTGATTTCTGGTACAGTTAAACCATCCCAAAAATCACATGTTTCACCCCCAGAACCCCAAGGTTGTGCATTGATCACAGTCCCGTCAACTTTACAAAAGAAGACGAATACAATATTACGGTGGGGGTTTTTTAGTTATCTTTTTTCTTCACGCCACGGGGGAGAAATAACAGAGGGGATGGGGGGAGCGAATGGGTCTCTGTCTGGATTTTTTTGTTCTCTTTTTCTTCAGCTTTTTTCCAAAATAAAAATAAAAATTGAACAAAGGTGGAAGAAGAGGCCAATAGAAGCTGACGTCGTGACTTTTTGCCCCAAACCAACCCCAGCACATTGTAGCCAAATCATTCTCAGATAATGAAGAAGAAAAAAAAGATAGAGGAGAGAGAAGGGGGAAACGCCCAGTTTTCCAGCTAAGAGAAGAAGAAAAAAATCACCCATGACAAGAGGAAGAAGAAAAAAAGAAAGAGAGAGAGAGAGAGAGAGAGAGAGAGAGAGAGAGAAGAGTAGATATCTGGCGGAGAGAAAGAAGAAGAAGAAAAGAAAAGAAAGAGAAGCAGAAGAATAGATATCTGGCAGAGAGAAGAGAAAGAAGAAGAAGAAAGAAAGAGAGAAGGGAAGGAAATTAAAAAAATAATTTTGGATTGATTTGACGATTATATCCTTGGATTTAACAGATTTTTTGACAGAGGGACTATTTAAGAGCATCCATACTAACGTTAGGGACCATGAGTGATACAAAAAAACTTTAAGGATGCAATCTGATAATTTCGTAAACGTCAAGGACGTTTTGTGATAACGGCTGCTGTCTTTTTTGTAAGCAACTCGAATTCAATTGCAATTTCACTCTTTTATGCATTTTGTGCTTTAAAAACGTCGTTATTGAAATGAATAATAAACATATTAACTTTGATAAATCGGGCACCTTTAAATTCCTATATTTAGGTCAAAATTGAACAAAGAAATTACAGAATACTACGATAGTATGATCACATCGTACAACATGTACACATATTATAATATAGATAGACGACATAATGGAGGTATGAATATAACTTAAAACTCGTATTCAAAGTTTAAATATAACTTACTATTTTGGACCTAAATATTAGAATTTGAGTATGAGATTGCATTGGAAATGGGTGGTGTGGCAATGCTAAAATGTAGCTCTTTCAACTTCTTTAATGTTGTGCTACTTTTTTGTTTTTTTATAAGATATTTACAAACATACTTTTTACAATGAATAAAATTAATAATCAAAATCAGATATCAAACTCATAACAAATATATATCATCATTGCCTCACATGCTAGAACTTGTACTAAATATCACACTACAAAATGATTTTTTTTTATAAATATGTGGCATTTGTGAGACTTTTGATATTAAGAGGTAAAATATTCATCACCATATGAAACACTTAATGACATTGATAGATCCCTCGATTTTTTTTTTCTTGTCCTTCTATGCTATTAATTAAAATCAAATGAACCATTGGAGTATGTACCACACTATAGCTTATTTAACTTTGGGTGTCTAAAAATAAAGAATTTGCGCACCCACCACCCATTGGTGTGCTCTAGATAAAGAAAATTGAAATCATATAGTAACACAAAATCATAAGCAACAATATCTTATGAAAATTTGATTCAATTTCTGAAATGCTTTGAACTGGTGAAACCATTTTCACCACAAAATTTACATGATTTCTAGAATGGTATTCCTGGAAATTAGTTTCCTCACCCAAAACAGAAAAATGCAAGGTACATTTTCTACCACTATTGTGGCTTCAACTCATTATGTTTTGGAAGAAACTAATTCCCCATCCATTCTAGTTGTCCCCAGCACAATTGTCATGATTTTTCTCCCTTGATGACTAAACTAGCCAACATTCCCCTCACTTTCTCTTGTTAAGTTGTTACCTTTCTTGTATCTTCGAGTATGCGTGGAACTATTTTTCTATAAAAAAATATGAAAAAAAAACCTAAAAACGTGAAGAACAAGAATAAAGAAAATGGCAGCCTTCATGTTCACACCAAAGACCTTTCCTCTTCAACTTCTGATCTTTTTTCGTTCGGCACTGGACTCTTCCCTGCTTTCAAAGATCTTCCATGTTTGGCAACACCACTTCTGCCAGGGGCTTTGTGTTCTGGCAACATCTTCATCATGATCCCCATGGCTATAAGCAGCAAGCCTGTTCCATGCTGGTCTGTCAAGGGCTTTGTGAATATCATGTATGACAGCAACAATGTGACTGCCTTTCTAGCAGTTGTAATCTGCATAACACATATATGAAGGGTATTTGAAAAATTGAAATCATGAACTTAGCTGCAGCTGAAAATTACCATAATAGATATTTAGACTTTAAGAAGCTTAGGAGGAGAAAATTACCATGGCAGTGGTGGCAGCTCCAAAAAGGGCAATGAGAGATAGGACAGATACTTGGCCGACATATGTGGCCATGGCTTCGAACACTAACACGCCGTACACATAAGGATGCTGCAAAACATTGACAGAAGCATAATAAATATAAGAAACTAGATATAGTCAACAAAGATTAGCCTTCAATTGGACAGCATAAAGAGTATTGGCAGTCCAGATGCAACACTAATATTATTTTTTACTTAACCACCATGTGAAGTTCATGTGTGGATTTTCTATCAGAGGGAAAGCACTTAATAATGTGGTACAATTGTGATTGATCCATATTTCTTAACAATTTTCGCCTTGGATCAAATCGAATCATCCGTCCATCATCTCAAAGTAAAACTTTAGTTCAAAAAAACCTCAATGCAAATGAGAGATATCCCATTTGATACTCCCCATATTATATATGTATGATCAATGTCAGAATTATATACGTATGATCAATGTCAGAGAATTAATCTGAGATTCGTCAACTATCAAGTCATGGATCTCCATGATGAATTCCATATTAGATGGGCATGGTGGGCATGCCATTAATGACTTGACTACAATACTACTCTTTGTGAAATCAAGATTAAGTGAAGATTAGACATCACTTACCTCATAACAAGAATTCCAGGCCTTAAACAGTTCTCCTGTAAGAATCATGGGTGGAAGTAGAAATGGCAAGCCAACAACTGTTGAGCAGAACAACATCTCTGTCTGTAGAAAGCAAAAAGTATAACAGAAAATTATAAAGACAAAAAGTTAACAGTTTTATCCAAAATTTTATATGCATTTGACGAACCATGAAATGACTTAACAGGAACTGAAGATCACCTGTGAGGTATCCGGATTTACGGTAAAGATTGCTTCTTGCAGGTTACCCAAAAAGGCATCCATGACTAGAGAACCTGATATCATTATCACACCAGCCATGCTAAAATTAGGAGATGTTTGTGCATCTGCTAAGGTGAAAAGGATCAAACCAATTACTAGAAACATTGCTGAGATGTATTCATGAATTGCATATCTCCTTCTCAATCCAGGAACAAATGCACCCATCAACATCACAGGCAGTACCTGAATTTTCACAATCACAGTATGTCATAAATTAGGGAGGCCTAATTGACTTTGCAAAAAATTAAAAAGGCTCACAAAGCAGATCATGTAGATTTATTGACAGTTTACCTTTGTTGATTTGAACATTATCTGTGCAGGATAATTGAGCCAAGCCAACGATCCCTTGGTCAATCCTTGAGAACCCATAAGAACGGCCGAGAGCTTCACATATGTCTTCCATGGGTTCACCATTTGCTTGGTGGTGAAACCTTGGAGGTATATGAGCGCGATATACACAAATCCTTGTACAAAGGTGAAGTACCATCCATAGCTGCAAAATTGGAAAAGATAAAGTTAAGTATACATAAGACCAGAGACAGATGAAACAACAGAAGAAAGAAGCACCAAACAGATTGGGATATAAGATTGAGCAAGGCCACTAACCTGAATTGGAGACGATTATACACGTATTCCTGAGATTAAGGTAAACATGTTAATTAATATATAAGAAAGATAAAGGCTGTTTTTCAAGTTGGAAAGAAAGAAAATCCATGAGTATTACTATTAATTCTTTCTAAAAGCAGGACAAGGAATTTAAGACCACCCAACAGAGAACAGGAAAAAGACACTTGAGAGGCATAACCAGGAAATGGCAATGAAGGTTCGTATTTACCAAACATTCTACCAAACTTTGTTTGGTAGCAGAGAAAAGTCTATGACAGAAAAAGGAAACTAAGATTTTTCTTTTGCCTTAACATTTCTAAAGATAAAAAACCACTGCAGAACCATTCAGAAGAATATACAAACATGACGTCTAAGATTGTAAATTCCAATTAACTTTCTTTCCCAGGATCTCCTAAACAATCACAAACTTTAACAAAAAGAAACTTAAAAAGAAATAAAGCAGATAGAAGAATGTTTAGAGTCCAGCCAAGAACAACCACAAACTTTAAAAATAGAAAGAATTAATTAATCTCAAAACAAACAAAAATGATCAAATGAAGTTAAAACAAACCTCGCAAATGCCATTAACGAGGTAACCAAAGAAGAACCCAGAAGAGCAAATGAGGAACTGTTGCCACCTGGGCCTATCAGAGAGTGAAATCCCAAACAGGAACCTAGCTTGATCCTGGTTCTTCATCTTGTCGAAAATCAACAGCACCCCACAATCTAATCAAAACCCAACAAACTTCAGACACTGATCAAAACCAAAAACAAGAGCTTCCAGCTCTGCATGCTGTTCTTTACTGCAAAGCACAACTTTTTATGAAAAGGGTCGGTTTCTTACACGAAGAAGAAAAGTATCAGAGGCAGAATTAAACCCTTTTTCTAAGACAGAGAGAGAGTTCGAGATTTTTTTAATGGGGTTTTAACTCTCTATTTCTCTCTCTCTCTCTCTCTCTCTTTGATAGGGAAGGTAGCCACCTAGCAATGAAGCTCCAGAGGCTTTGAAAGCAGGAAGGTATTAATAAGCAGCCTTTGGATTCACACCACCAATCACGGTATAATTGGAAGATTTTATAGTGTTTGAGTTTACCGGCAATTAAATATCTTACGGAGAAGTTGGGTTGGATTTGATTTGGTTTGGTTTTTGGTCACTGGTTTGTTATTAATTTAACAGAGGTGGCATTGGTGGGTCAACTTGTAAAATTAACCTGACGGTTACGTTGAGAGCTGGAGCAAAAAAGACCAATGACTAAATGGGGGTTAATTTTCTTGTCCCTTTACCTAACCAAAAAAGGTGCTCAGTCATTGAAAAATATGTGTTCACAGGTCACCAGTAAATCACTTTATCTGTTAATATCTTGTTAAACATGGGTTTCAGTAAGCATAAAAAAATATTAGCGTATTATTTGGTGAACAAAATTCTATAGGATTGTGTGGCTCGATACAGGTTGGATGATTCACCGCTAATAGGGTTAATGACCTAAATGGTCCCCAAACTATTGCTCCAGTATCATTTTGGTCCACCAACTAAAATTTTCAATTCAAACGTCCTTAAACTTTTCATAATGTACCAATATGGTCCATCCATCAAAGTCTGTTTATTATTCTGTGAAATTGAGGGGCAAAACCGTATTTTTAGGTGAGTATCATCATGTTAAAGGGTTAATGACCTAACTGGTCCCCCAACTATTGCTCCAGTATCATTTTGGTCCCCAAAACTCTCATTTTCTTCTTCTTCCTCCTCCCTCCCAACTGCCACTAAATTGTTGCAAGATTCATTGTTAGCAATTCAGCAAGTTTCAGTCTTTATGTCGGCCATGGATGATGGCATTCCAAGCTTCGCAAACATACACGAATCACATAAAATCTTTGGGCGGAAGCCGTAAAAGAATGTCGAACACAAGCTCCGGTGGAATGTATAGGGTGGTTGTTGAAAGCTTGGGTTTAGGGTTAGAATTTGGGGCCATTTCAATTTGTGCATCAATGGATTCAACACTCAACATACTCTTAGAGTCAACAGAAAAATCTAATTTCTTAACAGCTCTCCACCTATAACAAGAACCCTAACAATCAAATTCAATTTATTTTATTTATAAATAAAGAAGAAAAGAAATTAAGCACAATAACAAATTGATACATTATGAAACGTTTAGGGATGTTTGAATTGAAAATTTTAGTTGGTGGACCAAAATGATACTGGGGCAATAGTTTGGGGACCATTTAGGTCATTAACCTTTTTACATGATGATACTCACCTAAAAATACGGTTTTGTCCCTCGATTTCACGGAATAATAAACAGACTTTGACGAATGGACCATATTGGCACATTATGAAAAGTTTAAGGACGTTTGAATTGAAAATTTTAGTTGGTGGACCAAAATGATACTGGGGCAATAGTTTGGGGACCATTTAGGTCATTAACCCTTGCTAATAATACTTTAAGTTTTTTAAGATAAAATCTCACCTTAATGGTTTGTAACTTAATTGAGTTTGCACCAACGTTATTAGATTTTGTCGAAAAGAGGGAAACATAATTAGTGATGTGTTTACGCTAATTAGCTATTTAACAAATTGGGTAAATTACTCAAATGGTCCCCAAACTTGTACGCGATTTACATTTTGGGGCATGAATTAAATTTTTCGTTCAAATGGTCCATCAACTCTATATTAATTACTCAAATGGTCCCACCGTCTAATTTTCTGTTAGATTTAACCAAATTTTAGGGTAAATAATGACCAATTTGCCCTCATATTTAACGGAAATATTGACAGAATGTAACGGTGGGACCATTTGAGTAATTAATATAGAGTTGATGGACCATTTGAACGAAAAATTTAATTCATGCCCCAAAATGTAAATCGCGTACAAGTTTGGGGACCATTTGAGTAATTTACCCAATTTGTTAAATAGCTAATTAGCGTAAACACATCACTAATTATGTTTCCCTCTTTTCGACAAAATCTAATAACGTTGGTGCAAACTCAATTAAGTTACAAACCATTAAGGTGAGATTTTATCTTAAAAAACTTAAAGTATTATTAGCGGGGGTTAATGACCTAAATGGTCCCCAAACTATTGCCAATAAACTTACACAATATTAGTTTTTCTGTCAACTTTCTTTCGATTGAGTGGTAGATGTGTCTCCCCTTAGTAGAAGGAAGACTCACGCTTTGATTCATATGGAGTTGTCCCCTTCTATTGAGGGATCTCTCAAATAATTTTATTTGAGAGACACTTTTATATATGATGAGTTTGATCTCTAATCAGCCTCGTTGTGTTAACATAATATAGTAATGGGTGTATAAACCGGTTATAAAAATAATTTTGTACATATCGTATTGTTTGTTAACTTAAAAGAAAAATTAAAAGGTCGTTACATCTTTTTCCCATGTTGCCTAACAAAAAATTAAATAATTTTGCTTAGCCTATTCCTCAATATATATATCTAAAACACCCTTAACCTTATCCATCTGTTTGTGTTTTTTTGTTCTGTCATGCATGTTTGAGACACACAAAAGAAAGAAAAGTGGGTAAAAAATCGAATTTTAAATAAATTTTAAAAAATGATATTGATCATGATGAAGAGAAGGACATAATCCAAACAGTTGCCAACAATTTCAAAATTTCATTCTTCTTTTGTTCCATGAATATGGTTAATTTTGGAAGAACCAAATGATATATGTAGTTCCTTCTTGTCCTCAATCTATATAGTTTCCTTCCACTCGAGCTGGTTTTAGCCATTCTAGCCAATGACCTCCATGCTTCCAATTGACCAAACAACCTCCCATTCATCTAACTGAGTGGCGATTTTCACACTCCCATTTTATCTGTAGGTTTTCCTCGGTCTCATTAACGATTAAAGCATGAAACAAGTAGAGGAGCGTTAAAAATTAAAATGGAAGTGTGAAAATCGCTACTCATAACAATCTAGATTAAGATATCAAGTAACAACTCTTTCATCAAAGAATTCCAAACCTCAACTTCCAACTCCAAACCCACCTCTTGTTTCTCTTCCACCAACTCCCTCCAATTCCCACAGTACTTGTCCATATCATTCACGTAAACTTTCCTACCATTTTCCACCTCCCATCCCAACAACAACTCCTGTGACTGCCCATTGATCCAATCCTCTGCCAACTTCATCACCACATTTTCGTCGCTGTTTTCAACCATTCGATCTCTGCACAAATCCAGCACCAACTTCTCTACCTTCAAAGTTACCGATTTGTTTGATGGGGCACTACTTGATTTGATCAGCTGCACCAGCTCTCCTTCTTTTTCTTGGGTGCTGTTAACAATTTGGGCTCCATGGTTATGTTTTGCACCCACCAAGGGTGATGTGGGTGCTTCGTCTTCCACCTCTGAGTCTGACATTATTTCATCCATTCGCTTCTCTAAGTCCACTGGTTCCAATTGAGCTAGGCCTTCAAACCGCCTGATCTTTTGCATAAGTTTTTGTTGGGTACCTGCACATTCATCATTTAATAATCATAACTAGTAAAACTAAGCACTTCTACATTTTCTAACATAAGTTTTAAGCATTTCTAACCATAAGACTTTCCACACCGTCAGCTAATGGGTCATTTTTGTATATCTATCTTTCTTATCACATGAACATGTGACGTTATGCGAAAGATAGACATATAAATGCTCTAAATCCATCGATGGATGTTTTTTTTTTTTTGGGAAAAGGAGAGAAGAAATGACATACCTTGCATGCGGGCAAGGCTACAACTGAAGGGTGAGCTAGTCTGATCATCTTCGTCTTCAAATGGACAATCTAGTACGGACACTGGACTAAACTGTTCCTTCTCCTCTTTAATATTCAGCCACTCCTGTAATTTTGTTACAAAAACAATGTATTAGAATTAAATAGAATATTTGTGCTCTGTGATGTTACCACATATTCTGGCCCAAATTCCTCTTGCCCTTTTATGGTGACCCAAAACCTTATTTCAAATTAGAAAAATGAAAATTTTGGAGAAAAAAAAAACCATTATTCATTTTTTTTTTAGTAAACCTTGACGGAACAAGGGAAACTTTATTGATAAAACGAAGAATTACAATAGGGGGTACAAGATGCCTGACCCTGCCTCAACAAATCACATAATAGGACGTCCTGAATAAGATATCAAGGGGCACCCCAAACCAAATAAAATTGTCTACATTATGCAGACCCTAAACCATTATTCATTTTTTTTTTTTATATAATATAAGCTACGGAGAATTTCTCACACACATTATCAAAGTACCAACTATTATTCTAATTCTTCTTGACCGAGAGAGCAAACCATAATAAATTGTCTCACCAAATAAAATTAATGAATATATAGTGCCTACCCAACAGGAACAGGACATAAAAATAATAATGGCAGTTAGATATGCCCAATATTCCGCCAACCCAACCAAACATGACCAAACCCCTTTATCACCGACGGGCGGACCCTAAAATCCCAACCTACCCATGCGAGTTACAATTACTCCGCCCACCAACTAGTAAATTACATAAACCTCGTTTTAAATTGAAGAGGTGTGATCTAGTAACCCGTGTAGCACCATACTAGGTAGTCTCGCGCTTAACGACGCCGTATATCCCGCTAGTCGACAAGAAGAGCGGGATCGTAGGCGTCCAAAATGCTCGATTTAGCAATTTAATCCCATAGCTATGAGAAGCACCTGATTCAATTCCCTAGATATACCTCACACGTGAAATTCACACAAAACGCAATCCCTAGGCCCACCCAACTGAGCCAGCTCCGTATTTTCCCGCTTTACCAACAATTTCAAATTTCCCACCCCGTCCTTCACTAATCACTAATACCTCCCAGCATCTTATGACTTATTACTTAGTGAGCCCGTCCCCTCAAACCGAAATTATATCTGCATTTTTGTAAATTAAATTAATTACTAATTTAGACTAGTTTGTATCAAATAATAAATTAATTCATATAGTTAGCAAATGTTTGCAATCAAGACCCTCACATCCACTGTGAAAATGAAATTTACTTAAAATTCTAACGTGGCAAACATCTATGGAACCACGTGGTTCTCACAGGTTCGGCCACATCAACCACCAGCCGGCAGAGAGAGACAATCCA